CCCTAAAGATTACTAGGAATGTTATATTATATGGATTTGGTTAGATTAGAATAAATTGGTGGGTATGTTATAGTGATATGTTTGGTTGGGAGGAATAAATTGGTGGATATATTATATAGATTATTGAATTGCCCTTCTTTTTTAATATTATTATTTGAACTATTTCTTTTAACCCCCTACATTTGAGATTTTCTAAAACACCCCAGCCATAATAAATGTTTAAATTTTAACAAAATCACCCTCACTCACCCAAGCCACTGTTGGCGATCAGCCACCACTACCAACAGTGGCCTAAATGGTGCACGATCGGCCAGATATGGCCAGTTGTGCACCAATCTGGTCATTTTCGGCCAGATCGATGGCTGAAAATAGTCAGGGGTGCGTTTGGTTTATTATTTTGGATAGAATTTTGGGAATAATATTGGGTAGTTGGATAGGGGAGTATTACGAGGTAAAATTTAAAATTTTTTGAAAAAGCCCCTAGTTTTGCTAATTTAATTAAATACCCTAATATATAAAATGACAAAAACACCCCCACCACCTACAGTGCCAAATTCCGGCCACCACCGTCGGAATCTGACGGAAAAATCACCTTACGACACAAACCGGTCGGATCTATGTCGTAACACGTCCTTATGGCCTTTTTCGGCCAAATCCACCACAGATCTAGTCGGAAAAGGCCAGATCTACGGCCTGTTGTGGCCGCGTCGTCATTTTCGGTCAACGATGGCCAAGATTTGGTAGTCGTTAACCTCAACGACGGCCATTTCTTTGGCCGTCATTCACGGCCAGATCCGTGGTGGATCTGGCCGGAAAAGGCCAGATCGGTAAACTTCCGGCCATTTCTGGTCGGCAGGTAGGCCGTTGTATAGATTCCGGCTACCACCAACGGTGGTTGCCGGAATCTGGCAAGTATGGGTCGCAGGAGTATTTTTGATAATTTTTAAACTTTTTTTCAAGGTGTATTTAATGAAATTAATAACCTATGGGGTCTAAAAGTAATTAAAAAAATAGGGTAATATTTCTGGAATAATGTGCCAAACATTATTTGGAGAATAGGATTGGGAATATCGGCAGAAATAATAAGCCAAACATGCCCCAGATCGTCGCGACTAAAATCGATGGATTTGGCCGTTTCCAACCAAATCCACATTGATCTGACCATTTTCGGCCATCAATCTAGTCGAAAACGGACAAATTGGTGAATGATCGGCCAGTCGTGGTGGCTGACAGTTGGCAGTCCTCTTGGCTGGTTAGGGTGTTTGTAGGGTTCATGTAAAGTGTTTTCAAAATAAGGGAATTATTGTCTAAAAATTGTATTACTTAGTGGTAAAATTGTAATGATAGGGTTCATGTAAGTTATTTTCAAAACAAGGACATTATTGTCCAAAAATTTTATTAATTAGAGAAAAAATTGTAATAAAATTAAAATTACCAAGCAATCTTAGTAATTACTATTGGTATTGGAAGATTACTAGAATCTTTTATTGATTGACAACCAAACATGGTAATGTCATTAAGTAATGGAGAATAACCTCCAACCAAACGCACCCTAAGAGTATATGAAAAAAAAAAAAATTATATCAACAAAATGGTATAAAAACATCATCTAACTCTTATATTATATTTACTTTACAAATTAAAATTAAACTAAGATAACTAATGAGGATGACTTTACAAATAAAAAGTCTTTAAAACCAAGTAAGTCGACATTTTTACTAACTTCAACAGTGGGTTGTAAAGGTAATGACATAGAAATAAAGAAGTGTCCGAACTACCTTTGGGTGGCCGAGTGGTTCGATAGGAACTCTTGGCTGTATCACTCAAGAGANTCGCCATGTGTCGATATGGTCATTTCCGGTTAGATATCTGGTCGCTGACTGCCAGATCGACGGATCTGACCGTTGATGACCAGATCCATCATCATTCTGGTTGTCAAAGGTCAGGTCCGTCATCGATCTGGTCGTCAAAGGCTAGGTTCGTCATCGATCTGGCCGTTAAAGGCTCAAAGGCTAAATCTGTCATCGATCTGGCTATCAAAGGCCAAATCTCTGGCCGGAAATGGCCATACAGTGCACGGAGGCTATTTCCTGCCTTCCGTGCGTCGTTAGGTTGTCGGCGGCCTTGATGGTTGTTGACAGTGGTTGGGTTGTGGGGGTGCTTTGTTGATTTTTCAAACTTTTATTATGGGGTTGTTTTTGCTACGTTTTTAAATGCGGGGGGAGGGGGGGGGGAGGGGGTTGTGTGGTTATATAATCCAAATAATAATCAGGGAGCGTTTGGTTGGGGGTTAAGTGGGATTACTGGGGTTATGTCATCTTATATTACTTGATTACCATGTTTGGATGTCAAGTAATATAAGATACCGGTAATCTTTAAATACCAATAGTGGTTACTATTGGTAATATAAGAGGTAATCTGATTACCTCCATTTTCTTAGGTATTCTGAGATTACCAGGATTATCTTTTTTTGTTACAATTTTATCCCTTATTAATAAAAATTTTAGACAATAATACCCCTACTTTAAAACAAATTTACATAAATATTTTATTTCAATTTTGCCCTTGTTAATTAAAATTTTGGACAATAATACCCTTATATTTAAAATAATTTACAGACCACTACTCACCCAGCCACCACCGCCACTGCCACCCAGCCACCACCACGGCAGCAGCCAACCACCACGGACCACCGTCGGAAAATCGTCAGAGTCCTTGAAAAGGAACGAAATTCCGTGGGAGGTTCCGGAGGCTTCGATATGGCCAGAAATGGCCAGATCTATTCTGGCCATTTCCAGTCAGATCGATGGAACTGGCCGTTAACGGCCAGATCCTTGGCCATTAACGGCCAGGTCTGGGCTAGATCTGGCCGTTAACGACCATGTCCGTGGCTGTTAACGGCCAGATCTAGCCCAGACCTGGCCGTTAATGGCCAGATCCATCGATCTGGCCTGATATGGCCGTTTTCGGCCATCGAAATGGCCGAAAACGGCCATATCGAAGCCTCTTCGTCATGGTGAGGTACTCACGGGTGCTTTCGGAGATTTCCGGTGGTGGTTTGCGGTGGCGGCAGGAGGTGGGGGTGATTTCGTCATAAATTAAAGTTTTATATAAGCGGGGGTGTTTTAGCTAAATCTGAAATATTGGGGGTAAAAAAGAATTATTCAAAAATTAATAATAAAAATAATATTATATTAATATTTAAAAGGGGGACAATTTAGTAATTTAAATAATATAGGCTGCGTTTGTTTCAGTTTTGGGAATACTACTTTTAGTGTTCCCAAAAAAGTTAAACAGTAAAATACCCAAAAACTCAGATTTTTTGGAATACTACTCACAATATTATTCAAATTTTTTTAAACCCCTTAAATTTGATAATTTAATTAAATACCCCTAAATATTTTTTTTAAAATTACAAAAACACCCCAATAATCCACATTTGCCAGATTCCGGCCACCACCACCGGAAAATTGCTGGAATCTGGTAGGATGGCGCACTACCGGCTGAATCTGGCCGGTAGTGCGCCGATCTAGCCTTTTCCGGCCAGATCCACCGTGGATCTGGCCGGAAAAGGCCAGANCCCGAGTTACCAAAAAAAAAAAAAAAACTTATATCTTCTTTATTAAATTACATTAAATAATAATAGGTAACAACTAAAGACCCAATTGACTTTAAAAATATCACGTCCGGACCTTAAGTAGGTCAGGTCTTAGGAATTGGAATATAAAATTTATTTATAGATAATCAAAGTAATCAAAGTAATTAATATCACGTCCGGACCTTAAGTAGGTCAGGTCTTAGGAATTGGAATATAATCAAAGTAATTAATTATTTGTCTTGTTTATTAGAAAATATTCTTTAATTTTTAAGGGAGTTTTAATGTTGACTTTAGGGTTAGCCCATCCATCTTTAAAAGAAGACTTTAATTCAGATTTCAGACATCTATCTGATCTAGGCTGTTGCTACATGGAGCTCAAAATTACTCTCATGGATTCGGACTTGAAACTTTTGGGTCTAAACCACAGTATGTTCACGTTTAGAGTTATTTGGGCACTGAAACTCAAGGGAATTGAGTACGACTTCATAGAGAAAGAGCTCTCCAAACCATGTCCATTGCTTCGTCAATACAACCCAGTTCACAAACTTGTTCCTGTCCTCATTCATGACGGGAAACCCATTTGTGAATCAAGTATCATTCTTGAATACATCGATGAGACTTGGAAGCAGCGGCCTCTCTTCCCTCAGGACCTCTTCAAAGAGCCGACGTGCGTTTCTGGGCTTCGTTTGCTGATGACAAGGTCTTTTGAGCGTAGTGTTTTAAGTTCTTTTTTCTCAATTTTAAGGGCATTTTTAACGATTGAGCTTGTCTTTCAGATTGTGGGAGCATCACAGAAGGCGTTTAGTAGCAGTGGGGAAGAGCAAGCGAAGGCGTGTGATGTGATGAGTGAGGCGTTGAAACTTCTGGATGAAGAGATTAATGGGAAGAAGTTCTTTGAAGGAGAAGAGATTGGGTATCTTGATTTAATGTTGGGATGGATTGCGTATTGGTTACAAGTTTCAGAAGAAGTGAGTGAATAAAGGCCATGGATCCTGCAAAATTTCCTTCTTTGAATGAATGGACTAATAATTTTCTTCAGAATCCCATCATCAAGAACAACGTCCCTCCACTTGATGAGTTGCGCAAAACCTTCTCTCTCTTCAAAAGGCTTTCGGTTTCTGCAGAAAAGTAGTCTTAACTTGTATCTTTTGACTTGTTCCCATTCTGGAAATTTTGAACCACTCCCTCCTGGTTCATACTAATTTAATAATACGTCTTCACTTCATAATCCAAGGGAAAAATAATAGGTTCAAGAGCTCGCAAACCATCCCACATTCCAATGACAACACAAAAAAACAGTAGACAGTTATGGTTCATCATAGATTGACAATTTATTTGGAAGAACAGCACACATCTTTCATGCCAAAAGCAAATATAAGAAATCAGCAAGGTAACTCGCTCATTAGATTGATAATTTCTGTCGTATTTCAGGATTGAGAAGTCATTAAATTCAATCATCAGTTGAACAACAAACATCTTTCATAATAAAAGAAATAAAAGAATCAGCAGTGTAACTTGCTAGTTACATATCAATGTTTTCTTCTCAAGAGAAACCAGAAAGTTAACTAACTAATAGGTTGAACTGTGTTCTTCACTGCACCAGTTGAAGCATCACCGGACAAGAGACTTTTAGCCGGTGGAAGCAACGCAACTCCCCCTCGCTGAGGATTTGAGTACTTTCTGTATACAACTTGAAGTTTGCCTTCTGCAAGTTTTGAGTGATAGTACACCAGTAGCCTAGCACAATCCCTGTTTCAAAAAACCCAGAAAAATATGAGCAAGTTTACACATTTAATTTAACATCTATTAGCACTAGAGAGCAAAATAAAACTTACATGACTTGAGCTTCTGAGAAACCAGTATGAAGCTTAAGTGTCTCTGTCCAAACAGGGCTCTTTTATAGTGTACAACGAGCGGCATAGACTGCTGAAGCAGCAACCATTGATGGGCAGAAGATCAAGGTGTCATAATTCATCAACCCCAATTCAGCAAGAAAATACACCATGTTCTCCATCTAAATCACAATTCAAAAACAAAAACAATTTTTAGCTTCCTTCCAACTGATGAAAACTATTTCAAATCAAGTAACTTTAGCTTATTACTCACTTCCTGATCAGGAATTGATGCCTTGATGAAGCGAGCTAGAAATACGAAATGTGTAGGCACTGTCAAAGTCCATTCGAGTTTTCCCAGAATAGCTTTCTCCATAACCAAAATCTGTTGATGAGAGTAAGCTCTGTCTGAAATGCATACCAAATCATTGACCTCAGGGGCCCAGATTTCTTCATACTTAGAGGCTATAAGCATGGCCCCCATTCCTAACAACTGTAATTCCCTCCTGGGCACATTCTTCACAGCAAGGAACCGATCAATTATATTGATGGTTAGATAAAGAGTCTCAGGAGAAAGCTCAAACTTTTGATGAACATCGATCAACCAATCTACCAAAATGGCTCTCATCTTCTCATTAATTTCAGTCTGTGAATACATATAGCTGTGTGGCCTGTTTTCATTCTGCACAAAAAATTGATTATACATCAGACACAAAAGACTATCACTATACAACAAATGTAGAGAGCAAAAATTAAGAATTTGATAGATACCTCTACTAGCTTGTAGAACTTATAGATGTCCTCAACATATTCAACTCCAGCCAAATCATTGTTAGCATCCTTTGAATCAATATCAACAATCTCTTCCTTAGGCTTGTTAGCCAGACCACAAGCGGCCTTGCTTCTAGCAGTAAGTACTGAACTAAGAGTCTTCTTGGACGACCCATCTTTCTCCTTTTTCGCGTTTTGCTTCTTAGGCTTAACCTCTTCTTCTGAATCCGAAATAATCTCAATCACCTCCTGGGGCTTTGGTTTAACAGAGACTTTTTTTTGAGCTGCCTTTGCAGCCACTGGTTTTTTACCCACCGGAAGTCCCTCAACAAGAAGAGGGGCCTTATCCACATTAACACAAACTTGTTTCTGCGATTCAAAGGAACAAAAGAAACCAGTTGTTAGCAAAGAAGAGCAGAAAGAATCAAGGGAAAGATTGAACATTTGGGTTAAAAAAGACCAACCTTGTTATTCTCAGCAGCTGCTGCAGCTTGTGCATTGGCGAGTAATTGAGCGCAAAAACTCCTGGTGATGGGGCGAGTAATCTGAGTCTGAGGCTGAGTCTTGCCGTCGATCTGAGGCTGAGGCTTGCCGTCGATCTGAGGCTCAGGCTTGCCGTCGACTCCTCTAACGGTCACGCGATTGCCAATATCACCTAGTGCACGGCGGTTTCTCCCATCAGCCACCGCCCCGGCTTTCTTTTGTTGCTTAACCGCTCCTCCTCCTACGACTGCCTCACCTATAATCATCAAAAGAGACAACTTTATAACAATTTTAAAGAATCCAAGAAAAAAGAGTTCAATACGTCAGACGAGAAGAAAAAAATTAAGAGAGAGCAGAAAGAAAACCAATTGTTTAAGATTTCTCACTAATAGAACAGTACAATCTGAAAAATATGAATAACCATTTCTTGTCCTTTTTATCAAATTTTCCCGTCAACCAAACAAATGGTCAAGGAATTAATATCAAGACAGAAGAGGAAAAAAAAAGCACAAGGGTTTCAGATAAAATATTCAAAACATTGAAAAAAAAAATTTTTAAAAAGGGTCACCAAGAATAAAGAGATTTACCATAAGTCCATATTAAGTTCAATAAATTAAATCAAACAACGACTCAAGATCAAAAGGGTCATAAATCTTAGAAAAACCGAACACAAAAAGGAAAGAAAACAGAAGAAGAACAGAGAAATCATCAATAAAATTAAAGATCTTTATCTTCGATATACGAAATATACCTCTGGCTTGCTGTGGAACAATGGGTCTTGAAGCCATTTCTTCTTTTCTTCTTCTGTCTACTTGTTCTTCTTCTGATGAGAATGATACTGTCTATATTAGTGAGAAAGAGGAGAAGAGAGAATGCATGCGAGAAATGGGTCTCTTTTGGAAGCTATAATAAGGAGGCGCTTCACATACAACGGTCGAATTCCTTTTGATTTTAGACCGTCAGATCTTTCTTTATGATCCAACGGTCAACTATGCGCTGCAAAATTATAGCCGTTAAGGCCAACTGAGCAGCGTGGCAAAAAGTTACCGTTTGTGTTAAAATATAGGGTTATAAGAGGAATTTGCTTGTGTAACTTATAGTTTGGTGGATTTTAATGCTACGCATGTCATACAGCGACACGTAGAGACTCTATGACCTTTTCTCGACGTAAAGGATGAATTATAAAAGTCTCTGTTCGTTTACTTCGTGGAGAGAATATAATTAGATATAAAAAAAAATCCCAAGGATTGCTTCATGAAAAAATACTTAATTGATCAAATTATAAATTATATAATTAAACATAGAGAATTTTTAATTATATTCAAAAAATTATTCATAATCAGATATATAACTCCACTATGAAGTTAACTATAAATAAAACAATAAATTAGATTAAACTTTTTCTTATATTTTTACTGTTTATCAAAAAAAGAAAAAAATATATATATAAACTTGAATCTCAAACTCGTTTATCATAAGTTTAACGGTATACGCATGTAATATTTTATTTTTGAGTAAACGACATATTCCCACCCAAGCTTTTGCAAAATTTTAAGTTGATATTCTTAGTTGGATTTATTTTAAATTCTCACCCTCAAATTAATATCGTTCGTGATTGTTGAAGGTGGTCAGAAACAGTAAATGAGATCGGTAAGTGAAGGGATGAGTTTTATAGAGGAGGTTGCAAAGAGACCAGCGGTAGTTTCAGAAGTAATTTTAAACTTTAGAATCAGCCCAAAAAAGCCAAAAATAATCGGCTTAGGCACTGCTAACGTGAACCTTTTTTACTAACATGAGCCATTTTTTGCCAAAGAAAACGCTAATGCACTTTAGCATGCTAACGTGAACCACGCTACAGTAAAAAATTAAAAATCTGTTAAAATGAAAAAAATGGCGTTACTTTAAATGTGAAAATCTAAAATAAATGCAATTGAAGGTATCAACTTAAGATTTTACTAAACCTCGTATAGGAATATGTCGTTTGCTCTTTATTTTTATTTTATTTATTTTTTCGACAGCATAGAAATATAATAATTCTGAAAAATCTCGAAATATTTGGATTGGAAGGGTAGTGATAGCAATGACATAATATTTTTTGGCCATTAAAGGAATGGAAGTGAGGTTGAACACTGAAGGAAGAAACTGATTTCCAAATATATTTATCAAATTAAATGAACTTAATTAGTGAATAATATTAATCTTCTCAATTAATATCATAATTAGCCAAAAGAGCTGGCTCGGTAGTTACATGGTAATTGGCATTCTCTTTTCTCAACACAAATATGAAATATAATGCTAAAATTTAGCACAGGGAAAAGCAGAATGGTAAAAGATGAGCCAAAATGAACAAATTAATTAAAAGCAGAGAAACTCATTACAACAAATGCTTAGGCAACACAAAAACAATGCCTAAAACAAATGAAAACAAAATTAGTAGAAACCAATTACACAAAATCATATGCCAAACACACACACATACACATTACTCACACTAACAAAACCTAATTTAAATACTAACATTTGTGAAAGCTCAGTTAGTTAAAATTTACTCCTATACTCGATCCTCCGGTCCAGCAAGCATCACCTGTCCATGGAAAACGGAAGAAATTAGCATCACCCAAAACCATGCAATGTGTCGAAAACACTCTTTAAACCCTTAAAAGTTTTGGTTTAGGGTTTTGTTAATTTCCTACAATCCAAAGAAATACAAGCCCAACATTGGAGTCGAGGATAATAAAGACAATAGTCACCAAGTTCAACTGTTAAAGTTTGCTTACAGACTTTGGAGGTTTTTCTTCGTTTAATAATGGAGGATGATTTAAACCTCTTAAAGAGAAGTTTGCAACAGGGCTAAGTTTCGACAGTTTATGCTTTCGAACAAGAATACAAGAAGAAAAACTAATAATATTTGATGCAGTTTGTTGGTGAAATGCAAAAGATAAACTCACATTGCAATCAAGAGCATGTTTTCTAGCAATCGTAATAGCTGTGTTTCTCGCTCTCTCTGAATCAAATGTTAATACAAAAGAGAGCCCCTTCCTAGCTTGCCAAAACAAAGACTTGGCTGCAACATTACCATCACCTCTAAATCCACATAGCTGCATATCAAGAAAGTGCAAATGTAAGAAATGCTTGTCTGCAGAAGTATTTCATATCCAAATTATATAAAAGAAAACAGGATATAAAATGTTCCAACCGACATCTCAAACCGAAGGGTTTCTTCCATTTCTTTCCTTTATAAATAAAAGGGAGAAAGGAATTGTATAAAAATAAACGGGGGCCCTTGTCAAGCAAACAAGGCCAATAAAACTTTTTTTGGGAAAACTTGTTCCCTGAGACAGCCTGAAATTAGATCAAAACTCTAATAACAGACTCAAATCATTTAAAATATGATGGAAAGTTTGAAAATCCATTTGAATTTCCAATTCGTGAATGCCCCGATATCATAAACTCAGCCAGAGCTTGTACCTGCATTGATGTGTGATAATTTTCTCTGGCCTTTGTGATCCACCCTCTACAGAGCTTAATCCTCATCTTCCCCACATTAAATACATGGTTAGAATGCGAAGAATAATCTTGTCCATTCATTTGGGAAATAACCACCTATAAAACATCCAATGTCAAAACTTGATTAATATTTGACATTAAAAATACTCTACTTTAAAGTAGTAACTTGAACACACAAATTTTGCAAAGAAGCAAATCGCTTATGCAAACAATGGTCTAGCTTCAACACCACATTACACTTCAAAATTTCAACAATTTAATGAAATTAACTGAGTATGAAATTTTCCAAGTGATTCAAAAGAAATCTGACAAAATAAACAGGAGGATCATCAATCCAGAATAGTCAATGTTTCTATCCTCTTTCCTTTAAAAAGAAACTTAAATAATATTAAGGTTGATATATGTTAAGTAGTATCTCATCGAGGCTTAGAGACCAGAGCATCATTCATTGGCTCAATAAGTGGCATACACAAACTGTAGGCATAGAAGGTTCACAAAGTTTAAAGGTGGAAAAAGTAAGCAGAAAGTTATAAAGGCACTCTTGTTTTTGACAGTAGTAGTTAGAAGGGACTAAAGTACATACCGTAAATTCACTGCTAGATTTCCGCAAAAGTGTCTCCACATTGCTTCCCAATCCTGTATCTGTAAAAGACAACAGAATTAGCTTTTCATTTCAACTCACACATTAACAAAGAGCTCATATTAAATACTAATTATCAAAACCAACCAGGTTCTATGGAACCAGCAGAGGAAACTGTGACTTTTTGGCCATTTAAATGAATATCGGCCTGTAAAACTTGTCCAACATCAAAGGGCTCAGGAGCATACCCTGATTTATTGGCACCTGATAAACCAGAAAATTAAATTTAGGATGGAGTAAGATGAAATAATAACAAACTAATATGAATAATTAAAAAGAAAAAATAAGATAAAGATCAATATATGCTAATATGCTGCACAATTACATTCTGTAAACTGAATCAACCAACCAAGAAATCCAGCTGAAACAAAGCAATAAAGTAAATTACAAGTTAAAAAAACACTGATAAACAAATACCTGAGACAGCTTCCCTTTGGCTGCCATCAGGTGACACACGATACCACTGAATTGTACATTTTGAAAGCTGAGGAGAAATATCTGAGCAAGGCTGGATTCGCAGATATGAGCCCAGGGTTTCAGAACCATCTAAGCAGTACAAGTGACACTTATTGTCCTCAGCCCTCTTGCTCATTGCCAGCTGGAAAGAAGTATGGCATAAGATAGTGCAAGAAAAATGTTCAAGCCACATCTATAGCATTTTCAATAACAAAACAAGGAAATCAGATTTCAGGGAATAATGATGATGACACTTCTAAAAACCTAAATTAAAATGAGAAGGCAATAGATCTTTGACTGGGAACCAAAAGCCTAAATGGATGTCCCAAAGGGTAAGAAAGAGCTGAGAGTCTGGGGAAGAGTTGCCCATCATTTTGATTAAGAAATGTTACTGTCTACAGTTTAAATACCAAAAACATGCAAGTCTCGCTAAACCTGAAACCTTTATCAAATGCTTTCACAAGTTAATTTTCCACTGGATGCTTTCAGGCCTACATTAGTCATAAAACTTTTTGCTTAGCATTAACTAAAAGAAAATGTTATATTGGCTTCACTTCTCCATCTTACATGATACAACATAATAGAATTCAAGTAAAACAAATGATAACATTATTAATATTTAACTGTATTTTAAACTGAGTGTTAGAGCTTTAAATTATGTTGCTTAGCCCTTTCCTATAAGCTTAAGTTTTAGGTCAACTGGTATCCTAATATGGTATCAAACCCAGTTTAACCAAGTGATCTTGTGATCATATCCCTTACTCTCTAGTGGTTATGGATGCATTGGTGGTTGCAGTTGTGATCGTGTTTGGCTCATGTTCAAATGCACGTGAGGGATGTTAGACTTTAAATAATACCATTGGGCCTTTACTATCAGCTTAAATATTTCAAGTTGTAACTTAACACTCTAAAAGTTGACAGTTGGAACCGAACCCATTTGTTAAAGAAACAGTATTTTTGTTGAAGCTTATGTTGCCAACAGGCCTAGGTACAATGGCTCTTAACATTTCATTCTCTTCATATGAAGTAAATTCTATCATTGGAAGTACTCTATTGAACTCAATTTAAAGTATCCAATCTACTTGTCAATGATATATCAAATAAAAGTTGTTTGCTCAGACCACTAAAACTCAATAAACGATATTTATGGAAGTTATATAAGTATAAAAGAAATCTCCAACAAACCTGTTTTTGAAACTTAACCGACAACAGTGATTTCTCTCGTAGCTGAGCTCTTAGTGCACGAAGCTCGTGTTCCATATCCAATACCTGCAAAAATAGTGCAATTTCTAATAATCAAATGGAATGTTATTATATAACCAAACATGGAATACCAAATACATAATTAAACACATCTAGTCATTGAATAATGTATTTCTGTGACATCATCCCTAGTTACAAGAATCAGTGACCCAAAGAAGCATCAATGACTCAGAACCCTAGCCAAACAGATTTGCACTCAGATATATGACTGTAATGTGTCTAAAACAATGTATCTAAAGCACAAACATTTCTTGTATTATTTTTGTTAAAATTGAAGCACATGCTTTTGTGGGAATCATTGTTTTGCTCATGCAACAGACTGTATTTAAACTCAAATCTGAGTCAGGATATTTAAAACTGAGATCAAAATTATTTTAAAAGAGAAAACACCCTTCCCATGAACTGTTGAATACAAAAATTTCATCATTTTCTGTAATAGGCAAGACTGAAATCTAAGATCCTTGTTACGCTCAATTCATTGAGCAAAGGAAATTATCTAAGACAAAATCATAATATGAAGAAACTTAGTTCATTGAAAATTAGAGGTTGCTGCAAAACCTCACTGATTATATAATTATGATCAAACTTTTCTCATAAATAAGTATAGTGTTTGTGTCACTAAGAACCTACATGCAATAACAACATTAAGGAGATAATATGAGTTCACCTTGGTTGGTTGATGCAATCGTTTAATTCTTCTAGCCTCTTGAACCTCCTCTACCAATACCTCAACATCCTGCCACTCGGAACACAAGTATGGGAGTAATGAGTATTTACTGAATTCAATGTCAAAAGATATACTCATGGCAGATGAATCCCCCATTACTCAAAGACATCTTTATGTTTTAATCTACATAACGTACTTGATGATAACGTTACATGTAAGTGAAATGTTGTTATACAACAAGAGGCATCACATATGAAATTCAAAGAAGGGGTTTTGATGACCATGAGAAGAAAAGAAAAAATGATGATAATTTTTTCTTTCAAGTTTTTTGTGAAACTAAATTAGCATGAGTAGAAGCACTATTGTAGCTCTAAACAAAAGTCAGAGATTCAAAGTGTGTGACACCTGATGGTCTTGACTACATCAAGATCAATTCAAATAACCTACTGAAATTCTTCAAAATTATAGAAATGAGATAACTACAACCTATAAAACACCATTTCCCTTGCTAAATCCACATGATTAAATGAACAGATCCCATATCTTGTCAGAGCAATTTTCCCTTACATAATTATAATATAGATGATGCAAATATTATCTACAAATTCATGCCTGGCATCAATTCAATTAATCAACCAGATCAAAAATAAATTAAGGTAAGAGAACTTGTTGGAACCTGAGTTTTAGGTTCAGGGGAATTTCTTTCTTCCTCCTCAAGAGCCTCTCCAAATCTCTGTACCACAGCCCTAGCACTTTCAATTTCAGCACAAGCAAAAGATTTTTCCTGGTTAACCAACTTTTTAGCATCTTCAGAAGCCTGTATATGAAACATCATACAATTTCAATAAATAAGATAAAACTATTAAGTACACTCATGCGAAATGTGGAGCACACGAAAAAGAAATGATGTTTTGGTGTGCTAGTCCATGTACATGTCTAAGTGCAAAATGTGACCAAAATTACAAACCATTCATCACCTGTTTAAGAAAGTTTGCCAGTTTTTTCACTTCAAACTTCTCTTGAATTAGTTCTCCTTCCTTTTGGGTCAACTTAACTGCTAGAGCCTCCACCTGCAAGGAAATATTTTAGATGGAAGCAGTTATCATACTGGAAAGATAGAGTAGACAAATACAAGGAATACTTTACAAAAACAGTCATAAATTGTACCAAAAACTTTTGACAACCAAAATCGTGGATGGAGTTATGTGCATCATTTTTAATTTGTAACTAGTAATCACCAATGGTCAAACCTCACTTCAAGATTTGAAACCACAAAGGTGGTCTGCATTTTGTTAAGCAAGCATTTTGCCTATATATTTATCAGAATTGCTCCATATATATTGATAGGAACCCACTCCAATAACTCAATAATTTGGGCTGGGCCATGGGTCTTTCATGGGCTTTGGTAGAACTCTCCTTGGAAAACCGGCTTGCCAAGGGAGGGTGCCCAAGCCTTTATAACCCACATGCCCACCCTTTTCCCTTTCAATGTGGGATCCCAACATTCCAATAAAAGTGATGACTAAAATCCAAACAAATAAAAATCTAGCAACCACAAGAAGAAAGACCGCAGGAAAACTACACATAGCAAGAACACCAATAAATTTTATGAAAGCACAATAATTGTAGTAAATAATAGTCTTATAGATAGAAACTACATTTTATTCAATTTAAGAGCTAATGCCTCTAACACATAAGGACTTAACACATCTAGAGGCCTGGAACATCAAGGTTGAAACAGAAAGACTTACTAAGAGAATTAAGTACAAAATATCAACTGACCATAGAGATAGCTGTCTCTACATCATCCTTGTTTCGCCCAGCCATACGGCCTCTCAAAGCTTCTAATGCATCTCTAAGCTTTTTCAAAAGAACATGCCCCTCCAAGGAAGCCACCTCTCTAAGCTTTGCCTGAATGCAAGTAAATGAGCACCATTCAATCTATCATCTATTCTCATCAGAAGTTGATCATCATTCATAAAATGGTGAGACAGTTAGATAGACAAAAGCAATGAACCAGGACAGAGAAGTATTAAAAGATATGCTTTCTTTTTAAGCTCAGCAAAGGCCTGGCACATATAAACTGTATGGAAGAAGAAGTGCTGTATAGCTTGCCGATCTTAAGTGACTGGAACAAAGCTTTGCAAAATGCTGGGAGGAAATAAATTTTAAGTGCCTGTGTGGAGAAAAATGAAATACAATGCCAAAAGATGAGAACCTCATCAGCCAATTTGGCAGCAGCAGTCAAGTTCTTGTCAAATTTACTGGCAAGGTCACGAACTGACAGCCGCTTGTGCTGCCCAGTCAACTGGACAGTCTCTTGTTCAACAACTTCCTTTAAGGATAAACCCTTGCTATCCTCCTTTGGCTCTTCCACAATCTGGTTATCTGGTCCTAATTTATATTTTGGGAAGCAATTAGAAGTAAAACTCACATCGGCTGAAACTGGCTGAACAGATACTGTAAGCATATTTTCCTCGATTTCAGGACTTATCTTTGTCATTGTTTCAGATCAAATTCTCTGAGCATCACAATTAAACACAAAAGACAACATTAGTCACTGGACCTCCAAAATCCTAACAAAAAACTGAAATCTAAGGATGCATTGAAATTTCACCCAATAATTTCAGATGAACTAAACTACCAGATAATTGTTCTAATTAAAATTATTAATGAAAATCACATTCTGCTCTTGAATGAACTAGAAAATTTTTAAATTTGCTGAAATAACAAAAGGAAAACCTCATGATGATATGAAAGAGAAAAGGGGCAACAAGACACCAAAGATGCAAACAACCAAGTAGGTATAACAAACAAGAAGGCCAGACATACAAGCAAATGATGATAAAGCTACAACAGAACAGCACGAGGTAGATGGTACAAATTAATCAACCATACCTAAATATGGAACTCAAACCAGTAATTCTACATAAGTATGCAATCTAACTGATGGCATCCATGTAATGAAGCACCTAGTTATAAATAACAAACAGTACTCAACACCTCGTGATTAAATTTCCTCATCAGAATTTTTAAGCGTCTGCAGTTTGAAAAAAAAAAAAAAAAAAAAAAAAAAAAAAAAAAAAAAAAAAAAAAAAGCTCGATAAAATGGAATTAAATTTGGAGATTTATATACCTAAAAGAAAGAGCAGAAAAAAGAATATCCCAAGAAAAGAAATTGATGGAATGACATAAATCAACATATGAACAAACCACAATTTCATTTCAAATAGTGAAAAATGAAAATAATATTCCTTAATGTCCAAAAATACTAATTCTCACTTCTAAAAGCAGTTACCAAACACCAACTTAACAACTAGGTAGTATTTTCCAACCCACATTAGCAATTTTTTTCTTCAATATTTAAACAAAAAAATCGTCTTCAATCTACACAACTTTTTACTAAACAAGCTGAACCACTTATGCTACTCTGTTTCTCTTCCATTGCATGCACCCAAAACAAGAAAGAGCAACCCAGAACCAAAAAGCACAGACAGAGCATATATAAACTTGCCACAGAACAGAATGAAACTTTCGCCATGAAACATTACCAACATGGTGAAAACTAAAAACCCAGATGCAAAAAACAGAATGCAACTAAACTGAGTAGCCAAAAAAAAAAAAAGAGTAAGAAGAAAACAGAATACTTACAAATGTACAAAGACAAGACACAATGTGTGTAGAGTGTGAGGAAAACAAGGAAATGTGTGATGTTAAAACAGGTACATGTTGAGAGATTGTTAAGGAAGAAGAAGAACACAAGTAAAAACCAAGAAAGAAGAAGAATCCAAAGAAGGTGGGTATTGGGTTAGGCTTTTTTAAAAGGAAGAAAGAGAAACTAAAGAAGGAAAAGCCTTTGTTCCTGACTTTGTCTCCCTCCCCACACTCCCAACCCCAACAACTTGAATGTCTTTTTTTTTTTTTTTTTTTAATTAAATAAATTTAGTTTTACACCATCATTTCAGTTCTGTAAAAAGTGTCTGGTGATAATAGTAAAAGGGTATGATGCCTGGTTTTTTGTCGCCACGCGCTGGTCCCATCAAGTAAAAGAATCACAATGTGTGACTCGGGTCGGTTTCATCCATTTATTGATTCGGATCACCCACTATGATTAATTCTTTATATATATATAGAGAGAGAGAGAGAGAGAGTATCTTGATTTAAAAAATTTCAAATTTAAAAGAAAATTCATAATTCATTTAACCTCTAAATTCAATGCAATAGAAAACAATTAAGTTTCATAATTGTGAGAGGGGCTCTAATACCATATTAAAATTAAGAGAGAAGCTCTGATACCATGTTAGAATTGAAAAGGTAAGAAAGGCAATTGAAGAGAGTTTAAGTATACTCGAGAGATATTTATCTTTGAAAGGGTAAGAAAGACAACTGGAATGGTTGAAGTATGCTCGAGAGATATCTGAGAGAAATTCAATTATATTGTATTGAGTCGTTCAATTTGAGTTGTGAATACCACGTTCTCTTTATACAAAAGTGTAATAAATATGTAAGGATATAAAATATTATAAACAATAATACAATCTCAATAATAAAATAAAGAAAATCATTTCTTAACATAATTAGGAATAAGGATAATTTATGTCCAGATGATACGTGAATTAATGTCACATAGTTTCATCTCATATTCGCATGTCAACATTAAGTGTTTGACAAATAAAATTATATCTTTTTTATTTTAAATTTATTAAATAATGAATATCATAATTATTTTTATCATGTGTTTTGCATTTATCTTAAATTCTTAATTATATTTTGATATTTAAACAAACACATTTTAAGAATTAAATTTGATTACTATTTTAAAGGATAACAAAATTTTTCCACATATAGGTTTTTTTATTTTTTTGTAAAATAAATAATACAAATTAAACTAGTCCTCATAACAAAAAATCAACGAAACTTTATATTGGTTGACTTTCAATTTCTTTTTCCTTTTTCTGGTCAATATAATTATTTTTCAACAAATAAAAAAGAACTTGCGCCATGACTAGAACGTGGAGGGCGGACGAAGGCATGCGCGTGGGACTGGCTTTATCAGGCTGTGAAGAATTGGCGCATGACGTCTTCTTGGAAGAAAACCTTAACTCTGAACAGATTTACGAAAATGTCATGACAGGGTAAAAATGTAAAAGAATAGTGAAGTGGTGTTTTGGGCATTAAAAAAAGGGATAGATTTTTCTGGTAACCTAGAACAAGGGCTTACTTTACCATTGCCATATTTAATATTATTGTTTTGTAAAAGCAGAAGAAATTATATTTTCACCCATTCAATTAAAAAAATTGATAATATTGTTTTATATTATCAAAATATATATAAATAAAATCTTAATAGAGTAAGTAGAGAGTACAAATAAAGTGTTCCCAATAAATAAAAAATGGAGTTGGAGAAGAAGAAGAAGATGGGTCCATAGAAACCTGTAAAAGAAACGTGGGTTTTGCTTTTGCATGGAGATTTGGGACATGAGATGGGACTCCATCAAAAAACGTCTCTTTCACTCTTTGTATTTTACGCCAAATTAATATATATATTTTTACCCATTTGTCTTCTCCCACTATTTGCTTAAATTGATATATGGAGTATAACAACATCCAACATTCTATAAATTTGTATTGTTTTGAACTATAACTTTGTGGTCATAAAATAATTTTCCTTTTGTTGTCCCTCGGTAGAGTGGGTCTACTTAGCGAACAAGCAAGACGTGGAGATCAATTGATCAATATGAATATCGGAGAGTAGATGGATGACCGTTGCCTCCTTGTCTTGGAGGCTCTCCGACAAGGGAGAGGCTTGCTATTGTAACATTTTCTCCTGGTGTATGTGAAAAAGAGAAGAGTGACGAACCCTTTGTTTTTTGTCATAGGTTGGTCCAAATAGCCATAGTCGGCTTCCTTAAGTCCTTTGTTCCTCAGTACTCAGTGGTAGAGTGGTTGATTGTTAACTGACTGGTCGTCGGTTCAAATCGAGAGATTTTATAATCATCGTTTTTCTAACCTAATGACCCGAGTTCTTCTCCTTAGTTTCTAAACTAGGAGAATCGTGGAACATAATTGGAAGTTGATTTCTACAAGATGATATGTAAAACCTCTTGAGAATATTTTAATTTTGAAAGCCATTTCTTCATCACAAATAAACTAATATTCACATTCTTAGTGTTTGACATGTAGTGTTAATTTTCTATTTTTTTTTTTTTTTTTCACAATTAGTCAAGTGTAGTGAGTTGTTGCATATATACATGTATTGCTTACATTTGAGGTTGCTTCTTAGTGTTTTACATGTAAAAAGGTCAAAACAAATAAATTCAAAAAATCTCCTCAAGTAATCAAAGGTTTTCAATGTCATGGGTTTCTCTTTTTCCCTTACATTGAAAATGAAATACGATGAGGGCTAAGTTCCTCCATTCAAGAAAAAAAAAATGTAAAGTGGGTTTGATTAATGTTCACTTTAAGCTAGGGCCAGGCAGGGTGCAGGCAGGCAGGCAGGCTCCACTTAAAAAAAAAAAAAAGTTGTTAGATATGGATGCATAAGAATAAGAATTGAAATGATAATAGTGGTTCAGTAATTTTGTCAAACAAGTTATAATCATGGTCAGTTGAGTTGGGAGTCTTTGTGTTTAGCTTTACCTAAGTCTCTAATTAAGTCTTACCAAACTATAATATAAATTTATTCTCACCAAATTTATATCCACAACATTTTTGTTTTAACTAAATGAGGTGATAATTACATCATATTGTTGAATTAATTTGTACCATAATTTTCTCTTTTGTTATTTTAGTAACAGATTTTTCCTTCATATTTGTCATGNAAAAAAAAATGTAAAGTGGGTTTGATTAATGTTCACTTTAAGCTAGGGCCAGGCAGGGTGCAGGCAGGCAGGCAGGCTCCACTTAAAAAAAAAAAAAAGTTGTTAGATATGGATGCATAAGAATAAGAATTGAAATGATAATAGTGGTTCAGTAATTTTGTCAAACAAGTTATAATCATGGTCAGTTGAGTTGGGAGTCTTTGTGTTTAGCTTTACCTAAGTCTCTAATTAAGTCTTACCAAACTATAATATAAATTTATTCTCACCAAATTTATATCCACAACATTTTTGTTTTAACTAAATGAGGTGATAATTACATCATATTGTTGAATTAATTTGTACCATAATTTTCTCTTTTGTTATTTTAGTAACAGATTTTTCCTTCATATTTGTCATGAGTCGGGTCTAGTGGGAGCTAAATTGCGGGTGCTAGAAGAATATTTAGTGTGAGAGTTTTCAACTAAGTATATAAAAGAGATTTTTTTTTTTTTTTATGACAAGAGGTGTTTAGGGTAATTTGCGTGCATCTTAAGGTCTTCAACTAATCCTTTGGGACTCTAAAACTATCGGTCGAGTAATAACTCCAATGGTCACTTCTATTAGCGATTGAAGAATGACTCAGACTTAAGACCTTTTAAGTAATACATCCAAGAGTCTATATCGAACCACTCAATCATCCAAGGATTGATTAAGATATTTTAGGTTGAGACACTGAAAAAAAAAAAATCTTGAGAACAAGGAATTCAAAACAAACAATATCGTGTTGGATAGAATTCGATTAACATCTATTAATTAATCACTTTATAATTAACAATCACACTTGAAAGTAATGGTTTCAATGCTTAGAATGTGTTTAATAAAATAATTTATTAAAGAATTAGAGAAATGTATCACTTTTTTTTATGACAAAATATTAAGTGAGGAATTAAAGTTGGATTAAGTAGGTGAATGTGGGGGATGATTGTGAAGTATGTTGTTGAAATGATGGTTAAAAGTTTATTATTAATTAATTAAATAAAAGATTAATTGTGGGTGGGGGGCATTTGGTGGGTGACTGGAGAAACTTAATTGTCCCTAATCATTAATTAACAGTTTTAAACTCATGATTACGGCTACCTCATTTCTGGCCCATGGAATCCCTACCAACTTTATTCGGGTACGGATTCCGCTTTTTTTGTTCCAATAACCCGATTTCTTTCTACTATTATGGTCAATCTACCCTTTTATATATAGATTTTGGTATAAGGGAAGAATAATTATTTGAATTATTTTTATAAAGGTAATAAATGTATGATAACTTCGTCTAAGGTTTACTGGAGACACACGTTATGTAACGTTATAATTTTTTTCAGATGATTTTCAACAAGTTAATTGTTAAATTTAAACCGGGCGGAGTTAGGATTCTAATCTTGGGAAATATATTTTATCTTCAACTATAAAATTTTCTATGTTTATATATAACAAAATTTATAATTTCTATTAAACATTGTGCCTCATATATTACAAGTTTAAAGTTATGTCTTATTAAAATATATATTTAAAATCTAATGATAGAATTTATTTTTTATTTTTTTAAAAGAAATAAAAATTCTAGGAGGAAAGATTGAAGAGACCCATCACTAAAAATTTGTATTATTTAATCACTAGATTTCAAATAGATAATAATTAATCCTCATGCATAATTAATTACCTTATTGATGACATCAAAAACCTCTAATCTTAACTATTTAGTGTGTTTTACTAATTAGGAGGGACATATAAAAAATAAAGAAAATAAATAATAAACTCTCAAAGTATAAAATAAGTAAGAATGTAACTAAGTATTTTTAAATTATTATTTAGAATATATGTTAGGTATCCAAGTTTAATTGCAAAATATATATATAATATAAGCTTCTTAAGATTGGGTTGGCCAATAAGTAAAATCATATATATTTTTATCATAAATATAAAATATTTATACTAAAAAACAATGAAGTACTAAAAAGAAATGTGTAATTAATTTTGGTTATGGAATTAATAAAGCAA